GGTCCTGCGGGTCCCCTGCCCAGGCCTGATGCCTGGGCCAGAGGCATCAGGCCTGGGCTGGGGGCAGAACCAGTGATGGGGGGAAATGAGGGTCCCCTGCCCTCTGTCAGAGGCGTCAGGCCTGGGAAAGGGCCATCTCCTGCGATTGGAGGGTGATGGGGGTCAATGCCTGAGGGCTCCCAGTATGTGAGAGGGGGCAGGCTGGGCTGAGGGACACTCATCCCCCCCTTACACCTAGTGCACGAATTTCGTGCATCGGGCCCCTAGTATATATATAAAACTACACAGAAACCTTGGGGCTCTACATATATTCTGAAATTTAAATGTCAAATATATCCTATACACATTTACTGCTGTAACTGGCAAGAGAAAGTGCAAAAAAGAGAAAGAAAAAAGAAACCAGAAAAAGGTGAAAGGATGGAATACTTGCCAGTTCTTCAGATGGAATGTCACTGCTAGATCAAGCAAAAGGATTCTCACTTAAATCACCATTTGATCCTATTGCAAAATACCTGCCATCAGTCACAGAAGACCCCAGCACAAGTCCAAATCTTACCAGAGACCTAAATTTCCATCACAATCCTAACCCGGAATGAAGTGAGACATGTATATAAATGGACTGGAATTGGATACTCTTTAATTTCTATGACAAGTGTTGAGTGTTTCCTTCCCACGTCCCGCGTGGGTCAGGGTTCAGGAACTGGAAGCAGAGCCGCACACAAATGAAAATGAAGATGAGATAATTTGGAAATATTGGGGAACCAGGCGGGCTAGTCCAACTCAAGGGGAAGGACTTCCTCAGGTGCTCAGGCCTCACCAAGCTTTTATTGATTCTGGGATGCACATAGCATAGCCCTTAGGCAGGTGACCCCTGGCAACAGGCAGACTACCCCATCAGCAAGGATTTACATAATAATAAATGGGGGAGTAGTTTCAGCTACCACTGTCTGGACAAACAGAGGTGGTGCCTAGGTCCAACCTTTGCTAGGACTTCAAAGGGGGGTTGTCTGTCTACACTTATCAGCTAGTGAAGGCAATAAACAGTTTCCCACAGACAAGAAAAAAGAATGAATCTATAGACCTAAAAGTATTTGGCAAGTACAAACATTTAGTCAAAACTATACAGGACTTATATTCACATATAATATATCAGAAAGCATAGATTACAATGCTTCTACCTGCTGTTACCCAAAATTTACAAGCTACCTTTTTCAAAAACTAAAGTTATCCTTACTAAATACTTAAAGCACAAGTGTAAAATGGTACAACCACTTTGGAAGACGGTTTAGCAATTTCTTATCAAGTTAAACACACACCTACCATATCACCCAGTAATTGCACTTCTAAATATTTACCTAAGAAAAATGAAATATATGTATTCCCTCCCCAGAGGTAATTATTAATTAAGTGTATCTTTCTTACCATAAAGTGTTTCATGATAAACAATTCTTTTCCTCACTGCTGGGCATGGATTTCATCAAATGACTGGTAGCTTTGTATTGTTTTCTAACTGTGAAAAAGATGACCAGCAGCTGCAAATCTCAGTCAAGGAGATCAATGGATCACCTTTAATATTTGTTTACCTTCCTTCTGGGGAGTTCCAAATTACAAACTGGTTGTACAGTGAAACTTAATTTGTTCCAGAAGGCTGTTCGAGAAGTGATTTGTTGGAAAACCGAATGATCCCTCTTCCACCCGGTTAGAAATAATGTAAATTAATTTGTTCCAGACTCCCAAGTGATTGTTTTAACCTTTTCTTATATACAGTACATAATTAATATATTGTTTAATCTATAAACAAACATTTCTTTTCTTAAACTTATCGAACCACCCCCTTCTAGCCTTAAACTAATCACTTTCACTACTCATTCCAGGGGTATCTTTCAAGAAGTCAGTATGAGCATCTTCACTTTTTCATGTATCACTGTTTCCAAAATGCTGTGTTGGGCTGTTTTCATTTATACAAATCAACAATAGTTTTTCTCCTCCTCAATTGCCTGTGAGCATTGTTTCTTACATTACCCTTAGCAACGTTAGCATTAAAAATATATATACATACATTTCTTAACATTTAAAAATTTTAAAAATATGTTGTTATTGATATCAGAGAGGAAGGGAGAGGGAGATAGAAAAATCAATGATGAGAGAGAATCACTGATCAACAGCCTTCTGCACGCCCCCCACTGGGGATCAAGCACACAACCCTGGCATATGCCCTGACCATTGGGAATTGAACCTTGACCTTCTAGTTCATAGGTCAATGCTCAACCACCAAGCCACACCCCATTGGGCAATGTTAGCATTCTTGATGGCCTCTTTATGTTTTAAAATTGTGCTAACTGTCCATTTCACCAGCAACAAAAACATAAAAAATATTCACAGTACAATTTCCTGAGATGTTAAGAGGTTCAGTGGTTAACTGACTCTAAGCTGAGTCTCATTCTCTCCTTTGTGTGTGGCCTACGAGGCGCTTTTTGTCATCTAGAGGCTTTTTGTCACCTTGCAGAACTTAAGTTTTGTTCCACAATGGAGACATTTTTCCTGTTAACTTAGTTGAGCACCAAATTGTTCAAGATATATATATAGTGGGAAGGTGATAAAAAGTACCACTTAGCCTTGCCTGGCATGATTCAATGGTTGAGCATCGACCTATGAACCAGGAGGTGACATCACATTCAATTCCTGGTCAGGACATGTGCTTGGGTTGTGGGCTGGATCCCCAGTGTGGGGAATGTAGGAGGCAGCTGATCAGTGATTCTCTCTCATCATTGATGTTTCTACGTATTTCTTTCTCCCTCTCCCTTCCTTTCTGAAATCAATAAAAAAAAAATTTTTTTTAAAAAGGTACCTCTTAAATTCAGCTCTGCACCAAGAAAGGAAAAAAGAGAACTCCTCCCACCCTTACCAAATTATCAAGGTAAAGATATAGGAACCAGGACTGTGTAAGTTTTAAGGGTTGACTAGAGAATCTAGTAGTTGTTCAAAACATTTTAATGATCTAATTCAGCAGTTCCTGGAAAACAACTGTTTCAAATTGGAGACTTCTTCATGGACCAAGTATTTGGGTTGCTACGTAACTGGAGCAAACTTGAGGCCCCCCCAGGTTAACCTTTTCAGAGCTCCTTCAAGTATACTCTCATTTGGCCTTGGAGCACCTCATGCAAGAACCTTAATTTTTTAAATTTTTTTTTCAGAGAGAAAGGGAGAGGGATAGATAGAAACATCAATGATGAGAAAGAATCATTGATTGGTTGCCTCCTGCACGCCCCTCACTGGGGATCGAGCCCACAACCTGGGCTTGTGCTGTGGACCAGAATCAAACCCAGGACCCTTCAGTCCGCAGGCTGACGCTCTATCCACTGAGCCAAACTGGTAGGGCCAAGAACCTTCATTTTTTCTAACTTTCAATTGCATAAAAACCTCTTGTCTCTACTGATAAACCCCAACCTATAATATGCAAAAATGAAATGCAGTATAATAAAGCAAATATGTATTAAGCGTTAGTGCCAGACAAGGTGCTAAGACAGTAATGGCGAACCTATGACATGCGTGTCAGAGGTGACACACGAACTCATTTTTTTGGTTGATTTTTGTTAAATGGTATTTAAATATATAAAATAAATATCAAAAATATAAGTCTTTGTTTTACTATGGTTTCAAATATCAAAAAATTTCTATATGTGACACGGCACCAGAGTTAAGTTAGGGTTTTTCAAAATGCTGACACGCTGAGCTCAAAAGGTTCGCCATCACTGTGCTAAGAGTTACTTTATCTCACTTAAAACATCACAACCAAATATCCTGATTTTAGCGAAGAGGCAACTGAGTCTTAAGGTTAACTAATGTGTTCAAGGTCACACAGCTAGAAAGCAGCTGACACAACCGTAAACAATACTGACTCCTTGTGGCAAATATTTAGGTCTAAGGGACAAATATCTAAAATACAATTTTCCGTTTATGAATTAAACTCTAAGAGTGGGAATAGAACACTTAGGAGATAAACTACTATGTCCAAAGGTACTAAGAAAAAAAGAATCCCCTTAATTTACAGTTTGCCAGAAACCTCTGGGCTTTTCCTTTACCTGCCACAAAATGTAGTAATTCTTTTGAAGGTCATAAAAACCTCCCCAAATGTGTCTATAAGCAAAAATTATAGTATTTGCTACTTTCACATTTAGATAAGGAAAGAATAAAGAACTATAAAACCTGATAAACATCAGGATGGGCCAAAAATAACACAAAACAGAAAACTGTTCTACCACTAAAAACGAGAAAATTGTTTTACCACTAGTTAAGGAGTCAGTTTCCCCAAGATGGGCTTTGGTTTCTTCTTCTATAATATAAGATGGTCTCCATGATCTGATGTGCATGCCAGCCTTACCATTCTATGATAAATGATAAAATCTTAAATTGAATGAAGGGAAACATATTCCTTAGGTGTGTAAATGTCTACTTAAAACACTCAAAATAGCCAAGCAAACCTTATTAGTTTTGTGTTTGTGAGTTTATATGTTAAAATATGTATGGTTAGGGGCTAAATGGTGTAGCATATACATCCATCATGGACCAAGATCAAACTGTGGTTATAATAATTAAAATTATAGTGCTGGGCAGTCACTGGGAACACATATATTAGGAGAAGGAAAAATAAGAGACAGGCATCAGCAAAGCATTTCATACTCCAACAAACAGGCTTTAACCTGAAAAAAACAATAAAGCCTCCCCACATCTGTGATCCCAGTATTCCTGGTCCGTGGTACCCCATTTTCGAAACAGTAATGGCCTCTTTCTGACCTCAGGAAACAACCACACACGTGGAAGAATTAGATCGTGGCATAGCAGTTGCTAAAATTTAACAGAACGGTCTGTGAAGGTAACCCACAAAACGCCAACCGAGAAAATGCCTGATTAAAAAAAAGTATAAAGTATACTGTGTCCCACCAAGGAAGCATATTGTGTTCCCGAAAGACTCTGGGGCGGAGGTGCCGGTACACTAAGGGACCTCCCTCGTCTGAGCGGCGCGTCCGGCGGCTCAATGTCACCTTCGCCAAAGCGCTGATGGCGGCGGACATTCCCAATCAGGTGGCCCCTGGGGTCAGCGCAGGGGTATGACGGTCACACCCCGGGGACCGCAGGGGTCGGGTGGACGCGGGAAGTGCGCTGGGACCCCTCTTTGGCGCCGACGGCAGGTCCACACCTGACCGTCCGCGGTGGCCGCACAAGAAGTCGCTGAGGTAGGCCCCGGGGGCGCGTCCTCGAGTCCTCCAGGCCGGAAGGCGGCGGGGAGGGCGGCCAGTGGCCTCTGGGTTCAGCCCCCCCCCGGCA